GTCCCTAGGAGGGCCAAGTCTGCTACAGAGCCAGCAGCTGGACAAGGGCAACCTTGCAGGTCTCCTGCAAATCCTGACAGGAGCATTCCCAAGCTGGCACGCTTGAGGAATCATGGATGTGGTGGGCCCTACTAGCCTGGAGCTGTTGGAACACGGAGACTGGCACTCAGCCCAATGTGGGACACCATGAGAAATCATGGGAGCTGTATGGCCTGCATAGAGCATCATCTGGCCTGCCAGACTGAGACATCTTTCCATGGCTTCACTCACCCTGCTTGCTAGGAGAAAGCAACAAGGCAAAGATAAAACACTTCTCTGTATCTGCAGGATGGCTCCTTGTAAGGAGCCATAACACTGGTCAGTAACTCTCCCTGCATGGATATATCTATGGAGACAGATAGATGCGTGCAGGGATGCATGGGGATTTTCCATGGATTTTTCACATTATAAACAATCCTTTAGTCCTTCCCCAGAAGAAGCTTGCCTGCTTGAGCTGACTCAATCCTTAGGACAATCCCAAGTGCTGACTGTCCTTGCACCCTCAGGAGGAACAGATATGTTCTTGCTGACCCCTCCACAAGCACAGGGGTGTTTGCTGCCTCTCAGACAGGAGCAGAGCTGAATCATCTTCACAGTTTAAGGTTTGGACAAGCTTTTTGTGGCCTTGGCCACTCAACCTTGTGGGAAGGTTGGGTATTCGCTGGGCAGGGTGAAGCTTCTGAGCCTGATTTCAGAACATGTATTGAGTGGTTTATCAGGGATGCTACTGGCCTGGGTCTGAAAATTATCATCTTCAGGAAAATATTCCCAAAATGAGACAATACTAAGAGTTCACACTTGAAACTCATTTGTTTGGAAAAAGGAAACACTAGGGATCTCTGCTTTCTCCAAGGTACCCTCTCTGACCCACTTCAACTGAGCATTTGTCAATGACTGAAATTCCCACACCTTTCCATGGCAGGGAATCTTCTCCCCTCTCCTCCTCGCTCTATCTGCCAGATGCTATGGCTCTTTCAATGTCTCCTTGTCATTTCACTAATTAATCTTCCTCATGGAAGTATTATCATAATTTTTATTTAAGCAGGGCTTTCTGACATCCCCCACCTTTCCAAAGCTCACTGAATTTGAGATTTACTTATTTGCCATCTTGCAGAGTGCATCAGCTGCAGCTGCCTTAATTATGGGCTTCAATCCTGGTCTCAATACTTCAGATGGGAAAAAAGAATCAGTCAGTTTTCTCCTAAATCAATGACTCTTAAGAGGGAGTCTGTTGTGCAATTGACTTGCCTGGATTTAAAGGCGGGAGAAAAGAAATATACAAGGCCATGATGAAGCAAGAAGACAGAACTTTAAAAAATGGTGCGGGCAACAGCTCTCCTCTTGAAACATTCTTTGCCCAGTCTTGGAAAAGGAAGAAAATACGCCATTGTTTGAGTTTGTTTTCCACAAACAGGGCTGTTTTGAGGCTGTATGTGAGACTTAAATTATAACCTAGAGCTCTGCATAGCAATCGAGATGTGATGTCACGATGGAGGATCTGCATTGAGACTTCGTAGAGGGCAGGAGCTGTTTGTTGCCTTCCTCCTGCTGTGCCTGTCTATCTCTCTGTGCAGGTAGACAAAGGCTTTGGCTGCAGATTCTACCACTTCAGCCCAGGGAAACAAAGTTTGGAGCAAAGTTCTTGTTAATGACCAGACAAAGCGCTACAGTCAGGTTTCCATGGGGACCGTGGGATGCTGCAGATGTGTTTGGTTCCTGACAGCCTTGGTGCTCCACAGGCCTGAGAAACATGAGATGGAAGCACCTCTGAGTGCTGATAAGGGCAGAGCATGTTTCCCAGTTCTTACCTGACTCTTCATCTGCCCCAGAGAGGGGAAGGGGATAGGGTAATTCCTACCTGGTGCTCCTGAATGTGGTGTGATGAGATGCCATGTGAGAGCCTCAAAGCTGAGGTCCTCCAGCAAAGTCCTTCCTTAAATCCTTGCCTCAGCTGCTGGATCCTGAATCAGGGATCAGGATGTGAGCCTCCTCCCCATCAAAAACCTTGTCTTTTGGAAAGCAGTGATAGTTCTCCTGGATGAGTAACAAACTAGTAGCATGACAGGGCCACGGCATTTTAGGCACAGTTGTCTCCATCTCCACAGAGGGGCTGGCAAACATAGGCCAAGGAGGGGTGATAGGACACAGGACCTGTCAAGAAGGAGAGAGGCCAGAGCACTGTTCTGGATAGTTTCATCTTATTTGTCTGCATTGCAAAACAAATTACCAGACCTGTTCTTGAGAGCTGTACCTATCTTTGAAGCATCCTTGGCCTTTGTTTTATAATCCTAAATAGCATTAAATGTGAGTTGGGGAGGCACCTTATCAGGTGCATCTCCTTGGAAAAGCTTGAAAGGCTTTTGTCACACTTCACTTTATGCATGCTTTGAATTTATTACTGCACATTGCCCAGAGAATCTCAAGCTGGGAAATATATCAGAAAAGGAGATGATGCCCCATCCTGAGCAGAGCTGATAATAATGCAGATGCTACATCTGTGTCATAGAATTCTTCCACCAATGTGTCTGCACTCAAAGCAGGCACTGACTCATCTGTAGGACCAGTCTCACTGGCTTTGAAGGAGCTGCTTGCCTGACATGATAAATGCCAGGCAGAGGGGGAAGCCAAATCAGCACAAGGAGTTGGTACTGGAGATAGATTCTGATTTTCTTGGCTTCCAGGCTCAAAGCTGATCAATAACCCACATTGTCTGGAGCTGAATCTTACCACTCTGCTGTGTGTCATCTTCCCCATGCCCAAACTGGAATGATGGCTGGACCTGGGAGGGGACAGCTGTTACAGGCACCCTGTGTGTGCTCAGCATTCAACATCCTCAAAGCTCCCAGAGGTGGTTTGGTGCCTTCACACCAGGTCAGCCCAGAGCAGCAAGATGGGAGAACAGCAGTTGTTGCACTCCATGTCTGGGACTGCACCACAGGGCTGGGGACACCCATTGCATGGTGTGGGGGCCAGCAGAAAGGTGACAGTCCTGTTTCACCACAGTGGGTTTTTCAAGCCACCTGGTTACATCAGGTCCTGTCTTCTGCAAGCAGGGCTGTCCCCTTGGAGGAGCAGGAAGCCTTGGGCAAAGATGATTTGCTGGTATAAAGGCTCTAACAGGCACTTGAATCTGAAACCCCAGCAGCCTGCCTCTTCCCACTGTCAGAGAAGCATTGCCTCCATGATCATACACAGGGAAAGCTGAATACTTTTGACATCTCGCCACGCAGACTCCCCACGGACACCATGAGCCAAGACAGCTTTGTCCCTGGCTCCCACGGCCCCCCCCAGTTGTGAGCATAAAACCAAGCTGGTGAATAATTCTGCTGATGCACAGCAGAGAAAATCTTGTTTTCCCCTCCTGGGGCAGACTGGCAGGGTTAATGGGAGGAAGAGGCTGTGACAACTTGATTTTGTGGCTTAAGTCAGCAGATATGGCTCCTGGGACACATGGGAACAGGCAGGGAGCAGGAGCCACTTTTGCACAGTCACTTCTCGAAGACAAGCAGGGCTTCAAAAGAAAAATCCTTTGCAGGATGTTGCAACTTGGGAGGAGGAGTTAAAAAAACACACAAACAAACCCACAAGTTCTGTAGGGCTGGGAAATGCAGAGTCAAGGAATGAAGTTTCTAAAAAGCTCAGTAGTTGCAGCTCTTGGTGCAGAGAAGGTAGCAGTGTGAGACAATGCTGGCAATTCCCAAGGACACTAAAGCTCAGTGTGGATAGTGGATGGATGCAAGTGTGAGTTACACCTGTCCCATGCAGGGGACCCTCCATGTCCACAACAGGTCAGGGCTCCACTATGGCAGCGTCATCTGAAGTGGCTACCAGCAGCCACAGGAAGGAGGGAGTCTCATGTACACCCCTGCCAACACAGTCACCAGTAGTTGTAGAGGATATTGAATTCTCACACAGCCTCATTGGAAAATCTGACTGGGACTATCTTAAGCTCCTTCTGTGTTCCAGAGGTTGGGGCAGGAGGATGGAACTGGGAAATGGGCAAGCATGGACACCATGCCCACAACACAACAAGGGGTGGGAGGTTGAGTTACTAGGATGTGCAGCAGGGACCATCATACCCACACACTGGACAAGGAAATGCTGAGAGGTATTGAGGTGCTTGCTCCTCAAGGAGTTTGCTTCCTCATTCCCCTAATACTGACACCCAAGAGCAGCTCTGTGACTCTTACTGCTGAGGATGGCACTATGGAAAGCAGAACACATGGTCCCCTCCACACAGGGCCAGTCTTTTCCAGATCAGCAAAGACCTCATGGCCCTATTCACAAGCTGGGCTGGTGGAGGAAGTGCCCAGCCTGTGCAGTTTTGCCCTGGTAGGTTCCTGATTCTGCTTCCTTGCTTCAAATCCTGCTTGAATCCCAAGCAACACGAAACCTGGCAGCTCCCAGAGGCCATCCCTGCCTGTTGGGGTCTGGGGCAGCTAAAAGCAGCCTCCAGGAGGGAAGTGGTTGGGGGGGCAATGTTTGCCAGTTATGAGCACACAGCCACGCTGTGGGAGCACTGTGGCAGATGGAGCTGGCAGCCAAGTGCCTGTCCTGCTTGTTTTGGCTGACTTTGGAGACCTCTGGCTTTTCCTAGTAGCACTTGGATATGCCAATACTCAGGAGACCTGACCAGGCACATTCAGACAGCGCTGAAAATATCTTCCTTGCAGGCAACAGAGGCAAAGGGGAGCCAACAGCTGGACTCCCCAAGAGACAGGAACTAGGCTGCAGAGGGACGGTCGTTTTGCTTGGGCTTGTTCTCTGTCAGCCCGAAATGCATCCTGCAGAGTCACTGCTGTGATACATTTAAAGGTGACCCAGATGGGCAGCAGGTCTCAGCTGTGGAGGGGGTACTAGGTTCAGTCTCCTTGCTTTCTGGAAGGCTGAACATGGGTCCCAGATGAATATGGGCTCCCCCAGTCCTTGCCTCCTAACCTGTTGTGCTGGTGTCCTGGCAGGTACCTGGCAAAGCTGTCTTCAGTAGGGAGCATCTCTGAGGAGGAGACCTGTGAGAAGCTGAAGGGCTTGATCCAGCGCCAGGTGCAGATGTGCAAGAGGAACCTGGAGGTGATGGACTCGGTGCGACGCGGAGCCCAGCTGGCCATTGAGGAGTGCCAGTACCAATTCCGCAACCGCCGCTGGAACTGCTCCACACTGGATACCCTGCCTGTCTTCGGCAAGGTGGTGACACAAGGTGAGCTGGAAGGGACGTGTCTGGGGTGATGCTGCTGGGGGAATGGCTAGAAAAGCAGCCTGGTGGGCTGCAGGTGGGATTTTGCCTGCTTGCCCCTGAACCAGTGGCTATATAATGTCAGGAATGGCCCATCCAGTGTTGGATCTTGGGGTGGATGGGTCCCTGTGCACTTCAGTGGGGCTCTATTCAGTTTGCTGGGTACAGCATATTCAGACTCCTGCTGCTCCTCAGCTCTCCTGAACTTTTTCCACACCAATTGACAAGGACATGCCAAGTTTGAACAAAGGTCCTAAAGTCACCCTGGTCTCATCTCTTCCCCACCAAAGCTAGGAGCTCCACTCCATAAAGCCATGAGTGCATTTACTCAGTCTCTTTCTGGGCAGTGCTGAAGCAGTGACTGCTGCCAGACTGGCACATGGCCACTCTTGAGCAGAGTATCAATGGGGGCAACTGTCAGGAGGATGGGTTGGTGCTGCCTAGCATGGGAAGAACATGTGGCAGCATCATCCCCCACCACCAGCCTTCAGGGCTGGATATGGCCAGGGCAGCCCCCAGCTGCACCCTGACTTCCCAGAAGCACAGGACTGTAATGCTGTGGAGTGAGGATACAGAGGGGAAAACCCCTCTGCAAGCCCTTAAGATCACTGAAGCATCGCTTGCCTCCCCTCAGGTGCTATCTCTGCCTCCCCTCAAGCACTATCTCACCTCCCATCCCAGGACTCCTAAACCAAAGCATCCCCCTGGCTCCTTTTTTGACTTTCCTCCCCTCAATGCAGGGGTGAAGATCTCTTCTTGTGAAGGTTCAGGGACTGGAAATACCAGAAATACCAGAAACTAAAAGTCGTCTCTTTTTAGGCAGCCACAGCACAAACCGACCAACATGATCCTACTATTAACCTCGATTAACTTGGAGGCAGTTCAGTCCCACACTGGCTGGGTCCTCCCCAGCCACTGCCAACTGGGCCACCAAAGTCTGGGATGCGACCACCAAAGTAGCTGCCCTCTCTCTGACTGGCAAGCTGAGCGATGCCTGCTCACAAGCCAATGCCCCTCTGTACCAAACATGGGACCACCCCAAATGCCAGCCCTCCTTGCTCAGAAATGGAGGGTTTGTGCCCTCAACCAGCCTCAGAGGATAGTGGGCATTGTGTGTTGCTAAAGCTGATCCCTGCCCCTGCTACTCTGTGTGTTCATGCCCAGGAATGCGCCCAACTTCCCAAACAAGTTTTTCTCAACCATGTGGCACCACATAGGTAGACACAAAAACTCGGACTGCACTGCACCCTGGACACTAGTGGGGTTCTGTGAGGTGCTTTGGGAGCAGAACAGGGTTTTGCAGGGTAGTTTGGGAGGCATTGCAAGCTACACAACCCTGTGAAAGAGGATGGCAAGGATCTGCAGCTGCAGGGAATGTTCCTGGATGTGGAAAGCAGACAGGGCAGCTCTGCCATGAAATCTTTCCTGCATCCAGAATAGATGGATGCAGGAAAGATTTCATGGCAGAGCTGCCCTGCAAGCACAAGGCAAGACAGTCTTCCCATATAAGCTAGAGCTCTGCCCACATTAGCAGTGCAGCCTCTGTCTCTCCTAGTGCTAAGTTTTATCATTCATCCATCATTCATATTTTTAATGTTGTGGGGCAGTTCCCAGCTTCTTCACTATTGCAGAATGGGCTCTCACTTCTGCAAAACATCTCCCAGCACCCAGGGGTCTCTGATGAGTCAGGTCCAGGCTTGGCACTAAGCAAACAGCATCCCCGGGGGTGGGGACAATGAGGGTCCTGCATGTGCTGCCTCTATCTTAGGAGGAAGTGACAGAGCAAAGGGTTTAGCCTGATAGCTCTGTACAGCGTGTTTTGCCAAGACCTGTCTTTCAGACCAGATTTTCAGGGGAGTTTATGTGCCACACCATAGTTAAGAGGGGAGAGGAGAAGAGATACATGTGGCAGTCTACCAAGAGCCTTTGGCCGCCGGGCTGCATTGCCTCCAGAATTCCCGCTCATGTTGCCTCAGACTTTGTGCCACCTTTCCCACCATGGTTTGTGCCATTGCAGGGACACGAGAGGCAGCGTTCGTCTACGCCATCTCTTCAGCAGGGGTGGCCTTCGCCGTGACCCGCGCCTGCAGCAGTGGCGAGCTGGACAAGTGTGGCTGTGACCGCACAGTGCAGGGGGGCAGTCCACAGGGTGAGTGTTTGAACAGGGAGCAGCTGCAGCTGTATGGAGACGCAAAGTAGCCAAAATACCTGCAATTCAAACCCACTCTCTGAAGCCATCCAGAAAAAAGGGAAAAGTTTAAAAAAACAAAATGCTGGTTAGTTCACGTGACTGCCTCAGAAAGACACCTGAGTGCATCACCCACTGGACTGAAAACATCTTGTCCATGTGTTCCCTAGGGCCACACTCCCTAGCTTCCCCTGGTCCCGTGTGGCGCAGACTAGTAGGCAGCAAGACAGAGAGAGGGCAGGCCAGCTGGATTTTAGGAAGAGTAGGGCTGGAGAGTTCAAGCACTACGGGGTGGCAGTACCTGTCTCATCTGTGCTCTCTGCCTCAGGCTTCCAGTGGTCAGGCTGCTCCGATAACATCGCCTACGGTGTGGCCTTCTCGCAGTCCTTCGTTGACATCCGTGAGAGGAGCAAAGGGGCCTCTTCCAACAGAGCATTAATGAACCTCCACAACAACGAGGCAGGGAGGAAGGTAATGGCAAGGAGAGAACCTAGGCAGCTGGCACCGCTCTGCAGCATCCCAGCCATGGCTTGAGCCATTTGGGCTTCTTTTAATCCCATACCCACCCAGCAGTGTTTTCTGCACAGCGTTCCCAGGCCCTATCCATTGCACCCTCCCTGCTATGTCCATCCCACACTGATCATCCCATCTTGTTCCTTGGGTCTGTTCCTGCAGGCGATCCTGAACAACATGCGGGTGGAATGTAAGTGTCATGGTGTGTCAGGCTCATGTGAGTTCAAGACGTGCTGGAAAGCCATGCCCCCCTTCCGCAAAGTGGGCAACGTCCTCAAGGAGAAATTCGACGGTGCCACAGAGGTCGAACAGAGCGAGATTGGATCCACCAAAGTGCTGGTGCCCAAAAACTCCCAGTTCAAGCCACATACAGACGAGGACCTCGTCTACCTAGACTCCAGTCCTGACTTCTGTGACCATGATCTCAAGAATGGGGTCCTGGGCACCAGTGGACGGCAGTGCAACAAGACCTCCAAGGCCATCGATGGCTGCGAGCTGATGTGTTGTGGCCGTGGCTTTCACACGGACGAAGTGGAGGTTGTGGAAAGGTGCAGCTGCAAATTCCACTGGTGCTGCTCCGTCAAGTGCAAACCCTGCCACCGGGTGGTGGAGATCCACACATGCCGGTGATGCACGGGGGAGGGCACCCACCTGTATCCTCTCTAACTGACCCTGCTTCTCCCTTGCCCCACAGCCAGGACTGAGGAAGTGACCCAGATGCTGCAGGGAGAGCACAGCTCTTTACAGAGACAGAACCACAGAGAAAAACAGATTTTAAAGAAAAAATATTTAAAGTTTTAAAAAACTGATCATTGTTGGCTTTTTTTATTTTGTTTTATCTGCTTTGCTGTATGTATTGCTGAAGCCAGAGCCCCTTGGTGTCCTGCGCTGGCAGATATGTTTGCTCCCTGGCTGTCTGGGGACCTGTGTGATGCCAGCTCCTGTCAGATGGGCTCCTGCTGCTTTTGGAGTGCTGCAGACAAGAAGTGTTTAAGGCAAGGGTAGTACAGCATTTGAAATCTTCACTTTTGTTTGTTTAAAGGCATGTGCTGCGCATCCTGGAGTGCCGCTGGCCTGGCTAAGCCTCAGGAAGGGAAGGAGCACAGCCAGCCTGTGCAGCCAGGTGCACGGCAAGGGACAGGCAGGTGGTGACAGGCTGGCACTGTCCTCCAAGAGTTAAGTCCACGTGGAGCTCAGCCGGGGTGATCAGTTCATGAGGGCAATGTGAGACACTCCTGCACCCCCTTGTTGTGGGATGCTCGAAGGCCTCCTGAGAATGGATGGATTTTGGAGCAGCTCCAGGGACTGCTCTGATTTACAGAAGCTCCTCAGTGGCTGCCTAGGGCTATTGGAAGACACGATGGTCCCACCATGCTCCCTTTCCCCATCTCTTCTCCAGTACCCGGCTCCACTGGAGACAGTGAAGGGCAGTGATACCTGCAATCCACTGACATTTAATGGAGCTGAGAGCTGATGGGAGAAAAACGAAGTTGATTTCTTCTCCTCTGTCCCATAATTGCCCCCACCTCACAGGCATCCCACAACAGGTCTCCTCTTTCTCCTCCATGTGCCTGTTCTCCTCACTCAGGAAGACACTGGGGGACAGTTCCTATCCTGATGAATGCTGGGAAAAGCAAAAGTATAAAGTGGAGCAATTGGGGGTGAAGGAATGCTGGTGCTCTGCCCCTATTGCTGTGTCACCCTTAGGAAGCCACAAGAGAAGGACTCAGCCAAAGGAATGCTGCCATGTGTGCCCAGAAATGACAGAGATTTAGTGCAACAGGGCCGCAGCAGTCCTGTCCTTCTCCCTGGGACACTGCCATGAAGATAAGGTGCTGTCCTGCCTGCTCTGGCTTCCCTCTGCCTAGGACTGGGTTAGTGCAGAGTCCTTGCTGTTGGGCTGTAGTATGAAATATTTGGAGAACTAATAAGCAGAGGGACATTATGAGGGAAGGTGGAAAGTGAACCAGTTCCTCTCTCCCTTACCCACTGGTATATGAGTCAAGAAGTAAAAGGGAAGCAGAGGAAAACCTCAAAATGACACCTCAAGCCAACAGATGGGGCTCAGCATTGCTGAGCCCTCCTGTGTAGGAGGGAGCTCCCTGCATGGTCCAGGAAAGCCCAGAGCTGTGGCCATCACCCTCCCAGCTGAAGAAGGGGCTCTCTGCAAAACCTGCAGTTTTCCTGCTCTTCCCTGAGAGGGAAGGGGTTGGGGGAATGCACAGGCATATGTGAAATCCCATCTGTGCCATGGTAGCTATGGGCTGGGGGAGAGCCTGTGGTCACTGGAAGGTCTCCAGACACCATCTGCTGACAACTGACTTGAAGCAGTGCAGGGTGAGGGAGGTTTGCATTAGGGCAAACCCAGCACAGCCCAGCTGCCTCTCTCCTGCCTGCTCAGCACCAGTTCCAATAAACCTCCAGCGAAATGTGACAGATGGTGGGGAGGGATACCCTAGGTGGGTCCTGAGGTGGAGCACTGTGGGTTGATCCATTTCAGTGCAAACCAGAGATCTCCTCACCAGAGCAAGGTTTGCCTCTCTCAGTTGGTCAAGGGTACAGCATTAAATCCTTGGGGGGGGGGGGGGGGGGGGGGGAGGGAATCTGAGGTTTGCCTCCCATGGTTCCATCTCATGGAACCCCAAGGCTGCAAATCCTCAAATACCTTAGAGACAGTTCTTCCCTTTCCAGTTAATGCAGAGGAGGTCACAGACCTCAGGCCATTGGCCAAGTCTTCTGCTCCTTGTCCATCTAGGATGAGGGCCAAAGCTGAACAAGACAATTCAAAACAGCATAGAGATAATCTCTGCACATGGGATTTTTTCAGACTGCAATGAAAGCTAAGCCCTGCAAATGCCACCCAGGGTTAGTTTGGCTCTGCAGCGCTCTGGTTCTTCTCATTACTAAGTTTCAACACCACAGGGGGGTTTAGAAATGCATTTTCATATTTACTTTGTCTATTAAATAATAAGTTTGTGCTGAACAAGCCATGGGGTTTTCCTGTCCTGAAATCAGCTCCCCTGGGCTGTGTAAAACCATAATGTGCTGCAGACACCTCATGGTGGCTGGTCTCCTCCCGAGAGTCCTTAACTGGGAAGAGAGGTGCCACATGGTGCCTCCTGACAATGCAAAAAGAACACTAAAGCTCTCTTTGTCCCTCCTCCGGTCTCTCCTCAGGAGATGCTGGTGTTTGGACCACAGATGGCATCCCTGCTTTCCCATCAGTGGAAGTATAGCCTGCTTCTGCCTTAACCACTTGACACACCACTGGCTTAAGAGGCAACTTATTTTAGATCTCAGTAAGTCTGTGCCTTCCTCCTGTAGAAAGGGCATCAATATGCATCTGCTTAGAACAGTGCTCCCCTGTCCTGCCCACAGCCAAGGAGCCCCAGCTACCTCGTGTGCTGCTGAAGCATCCTGCCAGTGGGCTTGAGGTGCATTTGATCTGGGAGGGGGCAAGAACTGCCCAGAGATGCCAAGTCAGGGACCTGCTGCCTTTTGCCTCCACCGCTGTGATGCAGTTTGCTGGATTTGGAGTGGATGCAGTGCCTGATACCCAGGTATGCTCCAAGCTGCCCACAAAGTGCATTTTGCTTGTCCCTTGTCCTTCCTCCAAGCCAGAAGCATTGGCTGCATCCTTTTCACACTGCTCCCTACAGTCTGGAGCTTCTTGCTTCAGCAGGTGCTGCTGCTGGATCCAGCTGTACACCCTGCCTCGTCTCCTTTCTTTAGCTGTAGCTCTCCATTTGTGTGCTCTCAAAGCTCACCTTTTCATAGGCTCATGGTAAAACCAATGTCTTCTCTCCCTTTGGCCTCTGTGCTGGCAGGGCTTGAGGGATATGTTGTTAAGTTTAACTTGTTGCAGAAAGGCCTCCCATGGTAGGATGGGAGAAAATGATGCCTGAGCCTCTGAAAAACCTTTACTTCCAACAGCCTCTCTCTTCCCCTGAGGGATCCCACTCCTCCAGCACTTCTTTTCCCCACTCCAGCTTCAGCCTCAGGTAAAGAATTGTCTCCAGCGAAAAAAAAGATGCCTCACTCTTCTCCTGAAACAAGGTGTATGGAGACACTAGCTTGTGACCATAGAGCAAGATATCTGTGTTCTCCTCTTCCAAGGCCCTCCACCTACTCTGTCTGTCCCCTGAATCCCACATGCATCAGACCACATCACACTATGCCTCTCTCCACCACTGCATCCTGCCACATGCTCAGCCCCATTCCAGCCCCACAGGCCCAGCACTAGGTCCTCATCCTCAGTCCCCCAACACCTTCTCCTCAGTAAGCTCATCCCTCCTCTGAGAACTCACAGGCTGACATCTCCACCCAGCCTCTCCCCCTCATAAACCTTTCTGGATGTCCCACTGCCAACTCGAGATCATCATAGCAAAAAGAGGACATCACCTCCAAGTCCTCTCCACCCTGCTCCTAAGGGTAAATTCATTTTTTTTCCCATTCCCCAAACTCACAACTTTACCACCATGATCTGCTTCTTCTGTTTTCTTTGCCTTTTCTACTGGAAAATCCACCTAGGTGTCAGGTACCTTCAGTCTCAGCTATTTGAAACTCTGGGCTTCGCATTTCCCAACTCTCCATCCCAGATCCAGTCCAAGCCCAGCACAGCCAAGCACATGTGCAGAGCTGGTATTTTTCTCCAGCTGTTTTGACCACATCACGCTTATGCCCTTTACTAGGCAAGGACACTTCCATCACTCCCAACTATCTCATTCTCCCTCCCTGGGCATGTTCAGCCTCACCCACTGCTCCTTGCAAAGCAATTAAATCACCGTGGGTGACATTAATGATGCTGACAGAGCATAAGTTAGCACTCACATCCTTTCCCTCCCTCACACCATCAGTGAACATTACGGCAAATCCCTTTGCATATTCCTTCAGCAATGAGCACAGTAATTCTCCTGCATCTCCTTCTCTCCCTTTATCCACATGACTTTACCAGCTGGCTGTAGGGAAGCAAGGTAATGGAGACAGTAGGAAAGAAGTGTCTAGGACTACCAAAGAGATACTTCAAGGACAGAATGGTGTTGTACTGCATGGGCAGGTAAAGAAGAGGATGAGTCCTCCTTAGAGTTGCCACACCACACACATCATGCCACTTGTAATTGGGCATGATGGGCCTCACATCAGCCTGGCACAGGAGAACCCACACTGGGGCAACCATCACTTCCACCTGCACTTGCTGAAGATGTCAGTGGTGCCTTGGCCATGCAGTGTGTCCTTCAGCAGCACTAGGCTGCAGCACAAGGCCATGCTGAAGGACAGACACCCAGCAGAAGCAGAGCCTTTGACAGCAGCATGATACCGTGACAACAGGAGGGCGCCCAGCCAGCGCTCCTCAGAGAGGCCTCCCAACCCTGACTGCCAAAATCCTACTTTAAGCACAGGAAAATAAATTGTGCAACCTACCTTGGACTGAGTTGTAACACTCAATGTGGGTGGAGGGGAGAAAGGGGCAGGAGCTGGGCTGAGGATTAGGCCCTGCCTCACAGCGTTTAGGCTGGACCACACTAACACCTGGAGCTCGAGCAGCACCTGCATTGGGCTCTGCCCTTCTCATCCCTCACAGGTATGCCCAGGGTGTTTCTGCAGCCACCAAGCCACCAAACTCCTTAGCAGGGATCCAGAGATGCAGGTACATGCAAGTCCCATCCTTGTGCCTGTGTTAAGTCCTCAGGACCTATGATCTCTCCTAGGCTGGCTTCCAGACCTGGCGACACATTCCTTCTCCAATCCCAGATCTGACCATCAGTATTTTCTCAAGTGCATGTGCAAGGAGTGTTGCCTAGGTGAGCTCCATACCATTGTGGATCCCCAGACTGCTCTGGCAGCACCTCAATGCTAGATGTTTGGTCCAAAGGAGCTAAATGATCCACCAGGATCCTCTCCTTCCAGATCTTCATCACCACAAATGAAATCACAAATGGCAAGCCTTAATTAGAGTCATTTGCTCAGCAGTGCAAAAAAATAACCT